ACCCCAAAGATCAAGATCTGACGGCTAGAGTATTCGCGGTGACCCGATCAATACCTTACATCAGAATATACGGAGAAACGATGCAAGAAAAGGTTGTGAAACAGCTGTGATTGGAGAGTATCCGGAAGGCTCAAGAGGAGGATATCTGGATAATATTTCTGAAGGCATTTTGAAAGGGGTAATTAGGCGGCCTATCGGCTAAACAGGCACAGTCCATGCAAAAAAATTACCAGAGGTTACGAGGTCAGCAAAGAAGGATTACTGATGTTATGCTACCTCCACAAGACCGACGAGGAGGCCGAGAATTGATCGTCCGTCAAGTTATCCCCTACTCAATTAGACCGACGTGTTACATCACTGCCACGCCAGCCTGGAGGGCGGTCATCAAGGGGTCGATCGCACCTACTATCGGATTCGCCGGAAATGCCTTTGGAGAGGCTTAGTTGAAAGTGTCCAGCGGCATGTGGGATTATGTGTAGATTGCGAGACAGGAAAAAGGGGGCCTACCCTTAAAGATGCAACCCCAGGCAACGTCGAGGCGACCTACCCTTACCAAGTCATATAAATGTACAAATCCTCTCGTTGCCAAAGTCATACAAAAGAAACGCTAATTTCTTGTTTTAGGTCGACCTTTTTACTGGTATGTGGTAGCCAAGGCTAGCGCTTTGCGAATGGTGGAGACGGTAGCCGAAGGATACGCAGAATGTGTGTTTTCGGCGCTTTGGGGCCAGCGCGGTGATCCGCCATGAGCAAAGACCCGGTTTCATGTCGTGCTTATTTCGAGCGTTCAATCGCATGGTGAGTCAGCGTTGACGGTCAGAGATGGCTTACCGACCCCAAAAAACCGGCATTGCGGAAAAATGGTCCATGTCCTGACAAGTTATATCACGATGTATGTCTCAGATGTTGCACAGCAGATTTGGGACGATAACGCGAAACGGCTCAAGTTCTCGCTGAACACCGCACAAGATAGGGTGCGAAAAGAAACACTGTTCTATTTGGCCTACGGGTGCGACGCTAAACTACCCTGGAATCAAAGTTGCCAGTGGTATACACCAAAAGCAAATGGTCGGGAGCTCAAAGATGGAGATTTCACATTCATAGTCACTATTGGCGGGCAAGGGAACAGGTAAAAAAGCATTTGCGGTGGCCTGTCGAAGCCGATTGCTAACTCATAATGAACAAGTAGTCGATCACTAATCTCGATCGGGTATACAAGTGTGGATCTACCTAGATCGTGTGAAGGAAGGGTACGACAAAAAAATTGGCTGTCCTATGGCATAATCCGCTCCGAGTTTTAAGGTTTATCGGTAGATATGCCGAGCGCTTATGAGTAAGAGATAAGACGTAGAGATTATTCCCGATCGTTCACATCTCCATATTAAAAAGGGTCCGATAAGTCCCTGATCACCTTAGTGACCGGCTGAGTGTGGAAGAGGCCGACCGGATCGACTTTGACGAATGCTTGTTGCCGGAGGATATCTGGACGCGCGAGCTCATAGAAGGCGAATACGAAGTGAATTTTTTTACAAAGCCGTGTCAGCAACACGACGCGTTACGGTCGGCAGCGGCGTGAGTTCTTAATCCCTTGAAAAGATCACGCGGACCCCTAATGGGTCGACGAAGTGGATATGAATTGTGCAGCTTTATTCCAAAGTTTTTACGTAACGTGATACGCTAGTATTGATTCGAGGGGATGCAGAAGCACGAAGACTAGTCGTAGAAAAGAAAATTAGTAGTTCTCTGGTCGGCCTTGTCGCCTGTGGATCGGTCACGACGTCCGTATTTGACCCAAAGTTTATAGACCAATCAAAGCTATTAAGAAGTCGACCATGACTCAAATGATGTGACTGATTGTATCCCAATGCATGTGGTGGTTTATCTGGAGTCAGCCATAATATTTCATAGGTGACCAGGGCATTGCAACGCTGGATGGCAAAGGAAAAGATATGGCAGAGTGGCTAATGAGCAACGACCGAACCATGTGGATTTAAACCAGATTTAAATCATGGCACTTTACACTATTACCCCTACGAATGAGATACAATCTTGTTTTAAATGCAAGCGAATTTAATTCCAATGAAAGGGCTCAGAGGTGACTCTATACTGGAATATCCATGGCCACATAGAGTCCGATTGATTTAGAGAGGCCAACATGTCGACTGGATTCGAAACCTCCTCACACCTAGGGAATTTGTAAGCCTAACGGCGAGGGCGAGGCAGATGCCGGAAGAAGGGGTACCGGGAGATGTCAATGTCACATCGATGAGCGGCCATCTCTGCGAAGTTCCCACCGGCGATCCTAAGCCACGACAAGGTCGTCTTTCTCCGCCGTTTCTGCCGGACGTTGTAGTACGAGACCAAGAAAAGCTTGTGTGGGCTTGACCCTTCGAGATCTAGAGGCTGTAGTTATCTTTCTAGAGCGCCTGAGCATGCTTAGTCATAAAAATTTTGCATGCTTAAGCCAGGTCAGCTTACTAGCCGACCATTTAAAAGACACAGGAAAGTAGTAATCTGGACAGACAATAAAGACTTCGTAGCCGTCAGGATACTGACCAATAGAGGAGTCATCAAACAAGATTTCCATTTCTTTGAAAGATCAAAATTTTCGTCTGGTGGACCGAACCATCTCCAGGGTATCTATAATTATTCAGACAGGTCGCCAGGCGTCATGGTGAAGATCGACCAGGAGCTCACCAGAACGATCGACTAAGGCGCCACTTCGATTGCGGTAAATATTCTCGCTTAAGTCGAACCTGAATCATAGCCTCTTGCGGGAGCAATTACACGTCATCTGACGTAAAGGGACTGCGAGAACCTGGGTACGGCAACAAAAAATCACAAATCAACTGGTGGTACGCTTGTAGTCGAACAACTACCGACGAGGTTAAACGGTGTGGCCGAAACAAGATCGGTGGGAGCGGCAATGAGGCAACAGCAGAAGAAGCGGTCACAACTAGAGGCGGCCTCACACCCGAGATGACCTGAGCCGAATTCACCAGTGGCGAAGTCGACCGCTTGGTCACGGCGGTCTCATTAGCGCTCACCAACGATGACGACTTTGGGGAACCGGGGGCGACAGGCGATGCTACAACTGGGTTAGCTCGGGTGGAAACCTCTGCCGAGGGTGCAGGTGTTGGCGAAGAAAGAGGTGAAGCCGGACCGTAGGGAGGTAAGTCGGAATTAGGTAAAGACATCGCTGCAAGCACACAGATTGGATAATGACAAGAAATCGTTCACAAGAGCAGGTGGTCTTACAAGACTGGGGTGGTGATAACATTCTCGCGCCTAAAACCGCTGTACAGTCGATCAAGTGCAAGGGGCGGTTGTGGTAAAGTAAATATATATATATGATGGACGTAAAGGTCGATGTTACGGACGGACACGGGACCTCGCGGGGGTAAAAAAGTACCAGAGACTTGGAGGTCATAGGTAAGAAGCGGCCGTTAGGTCTTACCGTGATGAGCGGTTTATGTTACTGCTAATGGTCCAAAACCAACCGACGGTACCAGTTTGACGGTTTGGATATGGATCTTTCTCAATCACTCGTCGGTCTGAACTGGTCACCTAAGGTTGACCTCGATCCCCCGTAGGCTGACCTGGCCACCCATCGGCCGGCCTGATCACCCAAGGTGGTCCTCGGTCACCCATAGGCCGACTTTGCCTCTCAAGGGATGGTAGCTCCTGGCCACTCATAACATAGTTATGCTATCAATATACTTTCAGTCTTTTTTCCACACTGTACTAACCTACCATGTCGTACGACGACAACATTCTCACTACTCATTAGGCGCGTCTAGCAGCGATTGGTGGTAACCTTGGTTGAAACGTCTTTATTTACCAATCTTTGAGAAACACATAGATTTTATCCAAAGAGAATATTATTCCTTGTCTGTAATCTACTCGGGTAATGTTGGCAGGAATTTTCACGTTAGGCGATCTCCCTATTAACCGTTTAGTGTCAATATCATGAAACAGGCTACCCCGTTACAACATTCATCTACCATTTTGTCTTGTTGATTGCAACATAATTGTTATGCTGACATTTTCTCATTAGCACAGAAAGCGTTAGCTACCGGAACCCTCATTCGCAATTGTAAAATGAAGTTGGTCCAAGTCATTCATGAGTTTGATCTTAAAACGCTTGCGAGCATCATTCAGGACTTAATTGAGGAATTCGACGTCGACCGTCGCATGTATCGTTGGAGATTGATGGTGCAGCTACATGTGAACGATGTATGTTGCATATATAGTCGATTTGTAGCATTCATATTGGAGTACATGCGCGACCATATGAAGGGCCCAATTTGGCTCTGTCGTTTAAAAAGGGGGATTCCTAGCTTCTCAGTGCGGGTCAAGCCCCGCCGTGAACAAGTTGATTGCGGCTGACTCCCGCGACCTGGTGTTAGAAGTTCACCAGAACCTTAACCTCCCTGAGGTTACGTCCCCCACACCACGCAAAAACCATCTTATTGGGCATAGGCTTGAGTGATGTTTTTACCGTAGGTATATTTAAAGTCGTAACTACCAAAGATTGGAAGCATTAGATAGAAAAGAAAGGACGGTGAAATTGGTGGCTGAGATTCACCGGCTTCTGACAGATAATTGTTTCGATTTGCGAATACAACTAAATACAACTCACTTTTCGGTTTTCTATCTCGATCGCAAGTCCGTCTCATCTAGAAGCAGCTCAGAGACAAAATTTGGCACAATATGTGTGATGAACGTTATACAAAAACTGGGCAAAATTTACACAAAGGCAGAGTTACACAACCTTTGGAATTTTGCATTAGGTGATGAATGGCTACATTGACGAAAATAGGGGCTTCTTTGAACGAGTAAATACAAAGTCACGCATAACTACTGCTACATTCTGCTTTTCCATACGAGTAGTTCGCGCTGAAGTCCGCTGTTTGTTCGTCACACCGCCTGCTTCGACAGCCGCTGCATAAATCGTTTCTGTTGGTGCTTCTGGCGCTTCATTTAACGATGCTCTCGTGATGTTGCTCGTTTTGATGTTCGTGCCGCTAGTGCTGCTGTTATTGTTTCTCGTTTTGCCCGCTTTTTTGCTGCTAGTGCTATTTGAACTGACTGTACTTGCTTTGCTCGAATTGCTGCTAATCGATATGATGTTGTCGTCTGTTTTGCGGAAAAAAGAGGACGTTGCTGGTGTTCTCGTTGCTGAAGTCAGTGGTGCTGTCATAGTTGAAACTGTTCATGTGACAATGTTGCTGCAGTTGCAGTATCAGTGGTTGGAGGAGCCCGAGGAGAAAATGCTGAACATGCTGTATTGGTCGCTTCTGGTACTTTCATGAGAGCAGCTGATGTTGCTGATATTGTCGTTTCTAAGTTTATCCCAGGTGGTGCTACCGCTGCTGCAGCTGACGTTGCTAATACCGTTGCCTTTTAACCTGTCACTACGTTTGCTGTGGTTCTAAAGCTGCTGTAATTGATGGAGAGCTGCTTGTTAAGACTTTGCTGGAGGGTGTTTTACAGCTGTCGTTGATGATGGTCTGCTTGTGAACACCCTGCTAGAATTTATAGTACTGCTTTCATTCCTGGTGCTGACGTTTCTGAATCTGTCGCTGCCAGAGACATCACTGATAACTACAAGTGCTGTCGTTGTTGGAGCTGATGTTGCTACTGCTTATTTCACTAATGCTTGAGATTATTTGAAGATTTGCTGTTGTGGTAGCGGCTGGATGCTCGTTGCTGCAAATGAAGTTGCTGATATTGTCGGTACTGGATCTGGCACTGGTGGTGCTAGCGCAGCTGGAGCTGATGTTGCTGCTAATGGAGGTGCCTTTGAAGATGTTGTGGACCTTCCCTTGGTGACGCTGTTTCGCTGTGGTCGATATTTATAGTGCTTCAGGTTCCAGTGCTGTCGTTGTTGCATTTGATGCTGCTAGTGCTTCGGGTATAGATGCTGTCGTTGCTAGAAGATCATCAGTCAATGCTTTCTTGTTAACGCTTAGGTGTTTCTGCAGCGTATGTCGCAAAAGCGACTTACGTCCAGCGCCCTGAAACGCTAAGTGAAGTTATCTACCGTCTGCCAACAAGGGCAACGGAAGCAGGTCCGATGCTGTTGTAAAGTCAGAACAGTGTATAGTTGTAATGAAATGATCAGGGGTTAGTAGGGGCGGAGCGACCTACTGATATAGCGACCGGATATTAGCGACCTGATACAGCGACCTCAATAAAATTTAAAGTTTATTGTTAAAAGCTGCTCCATATTTAAAATTGTTGTGTCTCTCTGTACTTAGTGATGAAGTCCCCCTCGTCATCTTAAACTTAAAAGTGACACTAGAATTGTCTCTTCGTGCCTTAGGTGAAGAGGGGGTGAATACAACTGTTTTCGTCAACAGCCGCAAGAGAATCGTAGGCTCGAATTTGCGGAGCACGATATTTAATCTGCGAGGATTACAGTTCACGCTGCAACAGGCGCATCGATAGCAGAAGTAAATCCTCTGGTCGGATTTACTTCACATTAGAATATTTACAGGATAACGATGATGTGGATTAATTTTTCGATGTCATCCTGGGGTTACCTTAGCTTAGAAGGTAAGAGCCAAGGGTCAGCAATAAGTATAAAAATGTGACGATGCGTGCCACCTTCATCAAATGGCCATCTTACAAACGTCTTGGACTGTCTACGAGCGTGTGGATGTACTGCTGGTGAGTCCTATGGCTTCACTTTTGGTACTGTCATTTGTAAAAGTGCACAAGATCACTGTGACAACCAATAACACAATGGAGGAAGCTGCCGGCGGCTGTGCGGACACACAGGAAGAGCTGAAGCTACACCGCTTGAACAAGACGTGAGGACGGGGACACGGGTGCACGCCTAGCGAGCTACATCCAAGTAAGGACACACTAGTTGCCCACACGGGCAAACATTATGATCCTAATCATTTGTAGAAATAATTGTAGAGAACCTGGCTGCGGTAGCGCCAACACTGCTAGAAAAACATCGAAGGGATAAGTCTCCACGTACTAAAGACATCAAGCCCTCTGTTAGTTTATGGTAAGGTAACGAGAACCTATTAAAAAAGTGAATAAGTTCCCAGCAGAAGACGGAAAAGAGTTCTGAGGAAGAATCGCTAAATTGAATGTCTTGGATAATGACAGGTAAAGCTTAGGCGCTTGTACACTCAAATTGATCGCGCCTCCAAAGTTGGCTTCGAATATCGCTCACCTGAGAGAGCTGGATCAAAACGGTTTCTTAAAGATCTGCGTTATGGCAAGGTCAATTAAATCGATGCATTTTTCACGATGGACAAGTACGTGACCGACATTCGGTCGGCTTTATTATCTTTTGCCAAGAAAAACAGGTACCCAACAGCTCATCGATGGAAGAAAGAGTGATTAATGAATAAACTCGGATCGAGCAATAAAAAATAATATCTGAGGAGTCTCTTTAGGCAATCCTCGATGATGAATTCGTCGATTAATAGAATTTAGGTGGAAAGACGGAAGTAGAGGTTCATAGAATACGCGTTCGTTAGATCCTTTGCTACTGCACATGCATAAGTTTGGATCCAAACTCAAGGATCTAATTTTCAATGCTAGCAAGATGCCACTTCTTGGGTGCATCGAGGGTAAACACGGCATACGCCCTGATTTTGACAAGATCAAGGCATTTACCAATTGGTCTATACCACTCCATCACAAAAACTTTGAAGGTTCCTTTTTTCAGCACCACTCTTACAAAAGAAATGGAGCATCTACGCAAGATGATCGTTTACCTCTCTCCTCTCCTAAAAAAGTAGAAATAACCATGAAACACTGATTCTATGTGTTTCTTTGAGATTGTAAAGACGATCTTAATGCAATCGACCAATTTGGCGATTGCAGACTAAGAAAGACGATTATATGTGATCTGTGACGCCAGCATTTTTGCAATTAGCTACGAGTTAACGCTGTACGATGCAGACGGTGCAGAGCGCGTCTTCTGTGTTCAATCGTGTCAGCTACAAGAAGCTGAGCGTAATCACCAAGTGCATGACAATGAACTCCTTGACATGAATAAATGCACTGACAAAGTTTTGCCTCTATCTCCTTTAATATAGGAGATTCGTAGATTATGCGGACTATGCATCATTACGCACGGCCGTGAACATCCTGCAATTCACTTAAACGATGGTGAGGTGTTCGTCCTTCTTGGTGTAGACAACCTATACGCAAGGTACCATTTTAAACAGTTCAATGTCGTTGCGGAAGCGTTGGCGCGCCAACCCGATATCGATTCGGCTGAGCATTCCAAGAGTAAGATTCACACCACTGTTGCAATATTAGTCACAATTGTTTCAATGTCAACACACTTTTTTGAACATTGCAATTGAAGATTCAAGGCCCAAGATTAATCACGACCTAAAAAGGTAGTTTGGCAAATTTAACTTGCATTTCCTTAAATTCAATGTGGCGAGCCTCAACAACATCGTCCTCTTCTAGCAATCATACATACAGGGAGTCATCCTCGACTCTCCTGTACTTGAAGAACTTTAACTTTAGAGGCTTGCGTTGTCGCTCAAGCTTAGATTTTGCAAAAGCAGACTGAGACTGTTGCCGTTACAGGAGCTCAGTCTGCTAATTATCTGGCTGATGCAGCAGAGTCAGTTAAGCTCACAACGCACAAACTTTTCGATGCAAGAACTTGGCAATTGAGATGATGCTGGTCGAAATTTAGTAAGGACAGCATAGACCAGAAAGCTTATGCGCCAACGTTTAAAATTATTCGTTCGAACGCACTCCAGTCGGCATCACTAAAATTGTCATAGCTTTCAAGTGTGTGGTAAAGGTGTCATCGCTCATTTTCCAACATGTTCAAGCTGAGCGGGTGTTGTGGCCTTTGGAAAAACTTTAAACCGGAGCAACACTATGAACACCCTGTGTTACTTTGACCGCCAGCAGTGAGAGTGGAGCCCGGCTACCTCTGTAAGCTACGCAGAGGAAGTGAAAGCAACTTAAAAACTGAGTATTTGCTGACGAAAGAAAAATTGCGTGAATGTAGTTAAGATGTGATCGTGAACCTATGCTTAAGTCCTAACTAATTCAAACTAATCAGCCAAAAAAATTTTTTAGTCTTGCTCACTACTTACTGCGCACGTCCAAAGTTAATTGGATCGCTGGAGCTGGCTAATAGAATGACCCCTATCAGCTTGTCGGTGACATTTTTTGATGATTAATTCTCACGGTAGTATTGACGACCTATTTAACCTTTTTGGTAACATGCGTATTAAAAGTTTATTGGGTTTATTACATGTGGCAGAATTATTTTGATTCACAATATTTATGCAGTGTTTGCTTTGTTATAGAATGACGGGTTTAAATTGAAGGTATGCCCGTATTTCTCTGCTATAAATTTCAAATAATTATGCTACACATAGTTGAAGTTATTTCGTGCAATAACATTTTTCATAGTGTTTGCATTCTTTCTTTCGAGCGAGAAAAGACTACAACTAGGCTTTTAAAGGAATATTAATAATAAGGGCCAATCGGCAGGTTGATGTGTTTGTCACGAAACAGCTTTTTTGCCTCGATAGCCGCGCTTCGAACGCACTTTCCACCCATGCAAAAATGCTTTGCGCTCAGCAACTTTTTACGAATTTATAAAAATTTGTCGCGAGAAATTATGTTGGTAAGAAGATTAAAAAAAATTAAAAAACAATCAAACTACTTTTCATTCACTTGACGTTCTGCCATACATTGAAAAGCGGGCTGAAATCTGCGAACGCTATCCTACGTCATTCTGCAAAAAGATAGACAGAATTGGCTGTTTTATCAAAACAAACTTGCAATGAGCAAGACTTACCGCCAACTTGCCGCCATCTCCAAATTGTAGCACGTAATCAAGCCGAGGAAAAGCATGGAGCGGTTATATTAGGACGCGATTTCGACCTGCAATCTTGTCGATGGTTACCTGCGCATTTCGTTTTCAAGTGATCATTAGGAAAAGACCGTTCGGCAAGACATTGCGTATATCTACGCTAACACACTTTTCAGCTCAATGTGGTAATATTTAGGCGATTGTTCGACCAAAAATGTCGCATCTCACACTAAATAAGGTTAAAGAAGTGGCATAAACTTACGATTCACGATCCAAGAACAAATGAATAGGTATAAACGATTTTAGCTTTAAATTCCTGATTCGGACCCCGTTCGCGATATCCTAGTAACGTAAAAAATCCAGATCATATCTTTTTCTCGTTCAGTGGTGGCTTCGTCGCGACAAAAAGATTAGTCATATGAACTTTACCAATATGACGATAAAAGTAGATCTGTTTTAAATTCAAGATAGCTATGATTAGCTACAAACTCACCAACAACGTATTTTTTCAATTAAAACTAGTCAATTGTCACCACAGATATTAAAAGCAGACTAAATAAAACTCTTCCAGTTAGGAAGGGTTAAGGTTGTCCTATCAGCGCTCGCGGAGTCGCGGCAAAGACGATGATTCTACACAACACGATCCCAATTAATTTAAGATTGTTTTTAATCATACCAAATGTTGACTGGGATCCAGTTGCTACATCGGTAATTCAAAAATGCAGGGACGGTCATGTTAAGGGTCAAGACTTATTCTCGAATATGCAATAATTTTTGCGCATCAAGTTAACGCCGCTTATTTTAGGTGTTATGTCCTTTGGTTTCATTGCAAAGTTTTGATCCGAGGCGCCGCTTCTATAAGGGCAAAGTTTGAAAACGAGTCGCCACTTAGATAGTGAAAACTTTGGTTTGAACTCTGTTCTCGAGCTTTTATTTTTTGATATCTTTAAGGGATCCAAGTAATTGTATGTGGTTGCGTGATGTATTGCATCGGAAAAAAGGAGGGTAATATGCTTAAGGCCGTTGATTACATTGTTATAGCATGTATATGCTATTAACATAAAAATCACTGCTCTATTAAAGACTTAGGACAGGCATAATATAGAAACTCAAGCGTCGTTGATCCACAGTTCTTTTTAATTTTGGGGTGACGTGTGAGTGAATTATGTTCTTGAATTGGACGTCACAAAATTGAGAAAGTGTGGTATCCAATCGTACAAATTTCTAGGCTCAATCTACAGGTTGAGCGTTGTCTACAATGATGGAAGAAACAGTAAGTATAGGGCAAGCTGCATACGATAATTTTCTAACGTATCATCAGGTCTAAACAAAAAGGTGGGACGAACACTATACTTTCACGAAATTATTCCAACACATAAAATTATTTTTTTGAATGCAACACACTGCTTGTTTATAAAGGATCAAGATACCAACCGACAAATTTGAGCCGCGACAAAATCACGCAATTAATTATACACAGATATTTTTAATGTTTTTTTTAACATAGCTGTATGAATTCGAACAGAGATTTTATAGTAGAAAATATACTATGTAAAGTTCTACTTTTAACTATTACTGAGTACTCTTACTCCGCATAGCATTGTTTTTCTGCACGTACGTGTACGTTAGGTAGTTGCACGCTCACACCTTGTTTAATTAACAGCTAAGGAGCTATTAATTTTATTCAACTATTTATAATATGAGAGCTCCAGGTTTAAGTTTTCGTAAATATTTAACTAGTTAAATGATTATGAAGTGCTTCGTTACGACTAATGTATTTATGATAATTAACTAACAGGCAACTGCCATTATAGATTGGTACAAGTACTACATTTAAACAGTCTGAACTTCGATATCGTTATCAACATATCGTCCCATCAATCTTATCGCAGCGTTTTCTTATTCTACAATTTTGGTAATCGATTTGTGAGCTACACCAACATCGTTGCCGTCGTCTTTATCAAACTCATTTCTGATTCAGTAGTTCTTTGCTGAG